ACTGTGCCTTTCATTTCTCTGCTTGTACACGCCAGACAGTGGTCCTGAGGATGGCTGTCCTGACACAGCTGACATGGGGAACCCACACAATTGTAGGTCATATATCTTCATCTTTTAATAAAATACAGGATATATTTAAATGACATTAAATTTATATATTTCAAATGATAAATTAACATAATTTTATGTTAACTTATATTAACATTAAATGCTATGTTAAATGATATATTAAAATTTAAATGATATATTAAAACCTATAGAAAATAAGTCAATTTTAGTATAATTAATTGCAAAACAAAAGATATTGACTTAACGAGATTTTTTTTTGCATATGTACTTTTTAAAAAATTGTTTTAAAAATTTCAGTTGCACATATGGTAGTAACATTCATCGGTGTTGGGCAGGTGGGAGGGGCTGGGTATATTCACACTGAATGGGTGCAGTGCACACCGTCTGGGAGATGTGCACACTTGTAGCTCTGACTTGGGAGGGGCAAAGACAATATATGTAACCTAAACATTTGTACCCCCATAATATGCTGAAATAAAAAAAATTTTTCAATAGATTTAGCGAGTACAAGTGGTTTTTGTTATACAGATGAATTGTGTAATGCTGAATTGTATAATGCTTTTAGTGCACCCCTCACCAGAATAGTGTACATTGTACCCAACAGGTAATTTTTTACCCCTCACTCCTCTTATAGTCCCCTCTTTCCTAGTTTTCAATGTCCATTACCCCACTTTATGGCCATACATACCCATTGTTTAGCTCCCACTTATAAGTGAGAACATCTGGTATTTGTTTTTCCATTCCTGAGATACTTCACTTATAATGGTCTCCAGTTCCATCCAAAGTACTTAAAAGACATTATTTCATTCTTTCTTATAGCTAAGAAAGACACACGTGGTGCATGTGTGTGTATGTGTGTGTGTACCACATTTGCTTTATCCACTCATCGGTTGATGAGCACTTAGGTTGAGTCCCTATCTTTGTCATTGTGAATTGTGCTACAGTAAACATTTGAATGTGAGTGGTGTTTTTTGTTTTTTGTTTTTTTGAGACAGGGTCTTACTCTGTTGCCTAGGCTAGAGTGCAGTGGCGTCATCATTGTTCACCGCAGCCTCCAACTCCTGGGCTCAAGCAATCCTCCTGCTTCAGCCTCCTGAGTGGCTGAAGTGGCCCAGCTAATTTTTTTAAAAATTTTTTGTAGAGACGGGGTCTTGCTCTTGCCCAGTTTCAAACTCTTGAGCTCAAGAGCTCCTCTTACATCAGCCTCCCAAAGCGCTGGTATTACAGACACGAGCCAGTGCACCCAGCCTCCTCAAATTTTTCTTCTAATTAAAATATATAGTTTCAAGTGGAGTCCATTCTGCTCTTTTGTGTTTTTTTTTTCTAACCTAAAATTCTTGTTTTATGACTGCATTTTTTCATACCATCTTTCTCAATAAGAATACTGATTAGAATTTTTCCTTCTTTTTTCCTGATTAACTTTGTTTTGTAGGGGCTAGTTAGTTCATTTGTGCAGCTTGGACTAATTTACATAGGCCAATGTGTTTTTTCATTATCTATAGTTAGTCACTACTAAATATTGGCATGAGTTGTCTTAAATTATTAGTTTTCAGTTTCTCTAAGAGAGGCCCCACCCTCTATAGGGCAGACTGCTTGCTGTCCACCAAAATCCCGTCTACTTTTTCCTTAGTTCTTGCATGAGCAGTTATTGCTGCGTACACGGTAGCCCAGCTAGGCTACATTTCTGAGTCTCTTGCAGTCAGATGTGTCCATGTGACCAAAGTTTTGCCAGTGAAATTATGAGCAAAATTGATGTGCAGCATTTCCAGGTATGGGTCTTAAGACATTGGACATAGCCCTTTCCCCTGTTTGCCAGCGGGGAGTCCTACATGACATTGATCTTGCTTCAACCCCACAAACAATGACAGTGCTCCAGGGGATAGCAGAGCAACAAAATGGGAAGAACCTGAGACCCTAAGTGACCTTGTAGAGTATAACTACCCCACCGCTCAGTGTCATAACCAATGAAATAAACTTTTTCCAAAAGCCACCTTATCACTGGGGTTCTTTGTTATAGCAACTGAGCCTTCACCCTAATATATTCCACCACCAGGACCTTCCCCACCCCCAACCACAATAACTGTTTCTCAGGAGACAAAGTCCCATATCCATGCCCCATCTACACCAAGTGAAACCTGAGCTTAAATAAGGCCACACCTACTTTCTCTGGAAATAGGTTTCAATGGAACTCCTAAAATCCTTCATTTTTCCCCTCTCTCAGTATATTCCCCAAATAATTATGGAGGGAAAAAGTGGGGAACTGCTTGGCTATGGGTTTTCTCTTCCTCTCCAGCCTCCTTGGTGATCTTTAGTGAAGAAACACATCTTAATGTGAGTACAATATCTGTATTTTTAAAAATCAAATTTGTCTTACCACAGAATGGTAGGTCAGCACTGTCCCCTTTTCTGACTTGGTTTTGAAGAGTTGTTTTAGGAAATATTCTCCAGACTGTTCTTCACATCAAGAAAAATGTAGGGCATGTTGACTGATGTTGGCAGGTTGGAATCCAGGAGATAATGAGAGAAGAATGCACTGGGTGTTCATTTTAGCAACTTTTAAAAACCATATAAAACCATCTCTTGCCAATCATAGTGTGCCATGAATCAGAGAGTTTGATGAAACCAATTTTATGTACTTGCGGTAAAAATAGAAAAGTAAACATTGCCATACATGGGTAAACAAGGCTTGAAAAGCCCACTGAGCCTGGGGCTACTCCCACACAACTGTGCCTTTCATTTCTCTGCTTGTACACGCCAGACAGTGGTCCTGAGGATGGCTGTCCTGACACAGCTGACATGGGGAACCCACACAATTGTAGGTCATATATCTTCATCTTTTCTTCCTTTTTCCCTCTGTTGGCAGTTAGAAAGTACTTAGGTGGAAGGAAATAAAACCTAAACATTTATTAGTATGAAATACTGTGTGAGTCTATTTTAACTAGTATGTCTATTCTAGATCCAATCAAATAATTCAGGATCAAATAGAAGGGCCTTGCTCTCCTCAGGGAATCTAGTAAACTCTGAACCTTAAGTACCCACCTAGGACCAGGCCCTTCAGAATTGCACTTCCCATCACCACCAGCCTGCACTGTGCTCCAGAGCTGACAGCTGTGTGTAGGGTCCCCAGACATCCTCTGCCAATTTAACTGAAATTGTACTACATGTTTTTGAGTATGTGTACCATGAAGCCAGGGCCTTTCTTAGTGTCATGCAGATGTTATTTTCTTCCCTAACATTGTTTTTCTTTGTTCATTTTAGTGAGCATTAGGATGAAAGGTTTTGTAAATGTGACTTTTTTTCTTGCCAGCACTCTAGTCTTTTACAAAAAGATAGGTTTTTTTGAGACAGGTTATTGTTCTATCACCCAGCTAGAGTGCAGTGGCATCATCATAACTCGCTACAACCTCCAACTCCTGGGCTCAAGTGATCCTGTCTTGAGTAGCTGGGACTACAGAATAGCTTGGGACTACAGGCACATACTGCCATGTCTGGCTAACTTTTCTATTTTTTGGAGAGACAGGGTCTCACTCTTGCTCAGGCTGGTCTTTCTTTTTTTTTTCATTACTAAGTATTTACTTTATTTTAAATTTCAAAGTATTACAGGGGGTAGAAAAGCTTTTGGTTACATGGATCGCTTTTGTAATGCTTGAGTCAGGGTTAAAAGTGTGCCCATCACCCAGAGAGTGTTCATTGTACCCATTAGGTCAGGATGGTCTTAAACTGCTAGCCTCAAACAATCCTCTTGCCTCAGCCTCCCAAAGTGTTAGGATTACAGGTGTGAACCACCGTGCCTGGCCTAGTCTTTTACACATGTTTTAAAGCCAAAGGAGTGAAGATGGTAGCCACAATACAGCTGCTGGCTGGAACAGAACTGCCAATTTGAATCCTACTAATGCAACCTGAAAGAATGATTTTCTCTTAAAAGAGAAAACTCTTTCCCCAACAACCAAATTTTACCCAAACTTTTTACATAATAACTTGTTCCTTTATTAAAAAGTTTGTTATTTTCTGCTTTTTAAAGTAATACATACTTGTTTTAGAAAATTTGGAAAATACAGAAATGTATAAAAAAGAAAATAAGAATCATCCATAATTCCACGACCAACTGGAGTTAATCACTCTGTAGGTTTTACTCTTCAAACACAGACTCAGCTCACTCACACTTCTAAATCTAGTCACAGACCTTCTTTCAAAGCATTCATGTCTTTTCCCCCAGGAATAACATATAAACATATAATAAATAAAAAACATACTCAAACAGTATGGGGTTTCTTTACAAAGTAGTTTCCTACAAAACCTCCATTTTCCATATTCCTGGGAGTCAGAAACTCTAATACAGACTATTGATCATTTATTAAAATAATAACAAGAAGAAGAAGGGAACAAAGAGGAGGAGAAGGGCAAGGGGCTCATCTCCAGACTCCCCCCCGGCTCCTCATGTTATTAGGGGCAGGGTGCCCACTTTTCTTCCTGGTGGGAGGTTTTTCAGTCTTAGGGGCTGTAGCAAAGCGGCGAGGGACAGCCTGGGAGGGAATCTGGGAGTTGAGGGAAAAGAGAGAAAAAAGTCAGTGTCATATACTGTCAATCCCGCAGCCCAGGAGGAAAGCCATAGTGCACACAGAGAGCCAGTCACCACAGGGGAGAGACCATGCTACAGAGTGGGAACCGGAGCTTGAGGGGCCAGGCAATGCAGAGAGCCAGCAGGGAGTGTGTAGAGGTGAAGGAACTAGTCAATGAGAGCCCTTTTCTCCCCGGTCCCCACCCCACTGTCCCTCACCTCTTTCCGGGGGATCTCACCCAAGCGGGAGTCTGTGTTCCTTCTGGGGACATTATCCCCTCGGCCATCGGTCCTGCCACACAAATCAAGGGTATGAAGATGGGGAAGCTACTCGCCCTCAATTTGCCCAACACTGGATTGAAGAACTACTCCCCAATTTGTCTCTTAAGAATGAGAACAAACATGATAGATCTGGGGTTCAAATAGGAGAAGATATTAGTGGAATCAAAGAACAAGTTATACTAGATAGTGAAAATTCTAGGATTCTGAGTTTTGAGCTGCTGGGTAAAGAGAGAAAAAAAAACTAAGGTAGAGAGACATGGGGAAGAGAATTTTTTTTTTTAAGAGATGGTGTCTCTAGAGTACAGTGGTATCATCATAGCTCACAGCAGCCTCAAACTCCTGGGCCCAGGCGATCCTCCTGCCTCAGCCTCCCCAGCAGCTGGGACTACAGGCGCTCCCCACCATGCCCAGCTAATTTTTAAAATGTTTTGCAGAGATGGTGTTTTGCTATGTTGGCCAGGCTGGTATTAAACTCCTGGCCCCAAGCAGTCCTCTTGTCTCAGCCTCCCAGAGTGCTGGGACCACAGGTGTGAGCCACTGAGCCCAGCTTGAGATTTTTTTTTTTTTTTACAAGTAAAGAAAAAAGCAGTAGAAAGAAAGAGACAAAAGAAAGGTGGGGAACAGTGAGAGAAGGAGATTTGTTGACCTACGTCTCATCCTTCACTTTCCTCCCCAGAAAAAGACAAAAGATTCTACTCAGTGTACAATATATACTCTCTACTCTTCTCTGCCTGATGCATTTCCCATAATCCAGAGTCTATCCTCCAAATCCTTCCTCATCCCTCCCAGGCTTGTACCCGCTGTGTTCCAGCCTCTTTAGGTAGAGCAGCAGATCCTCGGCAGGCAAGGCCCCCCAGCCCCGAGCCTGGTAGAGTCGTAACAGCTGCGACACCTCCATCAGCTGCCTTGGGAATGCAAGCCCATCTCCACCTGAGAGACATATCAATCATGGTCATCCTCCCTTGAAGGCCCCCTTCCCCAGCCCTCATCCCCTTTCCCTAGGAATTCAGAAGGGCCTGAAGTTCTAGGTGTTCGCTCCACACCGAGGACCTTCCCTCTTTCTCTCCCTGGTAAACCATGACCTGCTTACCTCTCTCTGGGGAGCCACTGCTGGGACCACTGCCTTGTAAATGGGATGAGGGAAGCTCATGGACCCGGAAAAGACTAGACGCCATGGCTAAGGGAACTTTAGTTTTATGGACAGGGGGTGGAAGACGTGGCACTTGAGGGCATTCCTCCCAAGAGGGGACAGTCAGAGGACCTAGCAAAAGGAAAGCAATCCAAGAATCAGGAAATGGGGCAAAGAGCCAAGAAGTGCTACCACTAGCACTTATTACGCTTTATCACCTTTGCCGGCTCCTGAAAATTCATCCTAGATAACCAACTCCCATCTTTTCCAGGCCCCAACCCCAACCTTCTCCAGAGTTGGAACTCACCAGACTTTGGGGGCAGCAGGTCGACAGATGGGTTCTCATTGTTCTGAGGTACTGTCTCCAGCAGCTGTGGGGACAAAAGAGTAAGGTTCCCTAGAGGACTGATAAAGAAAGAGACCTAGGTATCTGAGGGAAGCAAAGTGAAGTAAGAGCTAGGGCTGGTCACCTAAGTTCTAGAAGGGAATTATGAAATAGAAATGATAGACTGAGAAAGTAAGAAGCTGGGACAAAGTATTAGTCCTAAAAAGAAAATGAAGGGTTGGGCGTGGTGGCTCATGCCTGTAATCCAGCACTTTGGGAAGCTGAGACAGGAGGATTGCTTGAGGCCAGGAGTTCAAGACCAGCCTGAGCAACACAGCGAGACCCCGTCTCTACAAGAAATAAAAAAAATTAGACAGGCATGGTGGTGTGTGCCTATAGTCTTAGTTATTTGGAAGGCTGAGGCAGCAGGATCACTTGAGCCCAGGAGTTCGAGGCTGCTGTGAGCTATGATTGCACCACTGCACTCCAACTTGGATGACGGAACAAGACTCTGTCTCTAAAAAAAATAATAATAAAAAAGGGAATGAAGCCAAATTCCTGGATTCCTAGAGTGGAAAGAGGAAATGAGGAAGGGAAGAAAAAAATAAGATAGTCTAGGTGGAGTCTCTCTTACCTGGTGCAAAAAATTCTTGAGGCCATCCAGCTGAGAAGTAGGTGGCAGCCCTTGCTTTAGGAAGCCCTCCTGGTCGGATCCAGGATCTTCCTCAGGGAATGGCCGTTCTGCCCTGTGATCAGGATGGAAGGCTCCAAGTGCAGAGGAGAAAGCCCCAGCAGCTATAAAGTGAAATAGGTGTGTGTGGGTGCATCGTGTTGGAGGGGGGAGGGTCTCCTCCACAAATCAACTCATCAAATACCTGGAAGCAAGGGGCCTGTCAAATGTAAAAGAAATATCACAGCTAGGAGAAGACAATGGAAGTTTAAAAGAGATGTACAGGGAAGGGTTGAAGGTGACTGGGAGACGGCACAGCTGAATTCTAAGACAGAAATATAGACAGAAAAAGAAAGCTGTGGCACTCAAACTCTAAATAAATAAAAACCACCATAAACTCCTTAAAGAAAAGAAACGATTACAGACAGGTTCTGGCCTCTTTATCAGAACAAGCCCCCATTCTTTTATTATTACATAATTTAAAATTTTTAAATTGTGATGCAATTTATCCCTTATACTTAATTTGACCCATGTAGTCATGTTTGTACCACACAGAACACCCCCACCCACCCAAGTCACAGCTGACATTTTAAGCCAGGGGTAGACACCACACCCAAAGTCAGCCAATCCAATGGATGGTTACCAACTCCTCAGATGGCCTCTTTTAAGTGGACCTAAAAAATGGAGATATCAATGTCTCTATAAATATCTAGAGTCTTAGCTAGAGTCAGTGTCACAGCTGGGCAAACTCATGTGCAAGACAAGTGAAGAGGAGCAAGAGCTTTCATGGGAGAGAATGCTGGTCTAGCAAGAGAAAGGAGCAGATGTGCAGGAAAGGCAGCGCCAAGAGACTATTCAGGCCCACAGACAGAAGGAACAGCAGCCTCAGTTCTTGATAGCACCCCTATTCCCGACTCCAGTTCTCGTTAAGTCCAGTGACATCATATTTCCATGAGATCTCACTCCCTTTATTTGAACCAACGTGAGCAGATTTCTGCTCCTTGCACCCTATGATCACTAAGACATCTGGGAAACTAAATGCTCAAGTCCCAGAAAGAAAGGAAGGTAGGTAAGAGGGGACAAATTCTTGCATGTAAGGGGAATCCCAGTGACTTCTGTCCCCAGTTACCTGTGGATGGAGGGAGATCTGGTTTGGGCTCTAGGGGCTGGAAGGAATTCTGGCTCTGGAAAGGGGGGCCCAGCAGGAGGCTAAGATCTGAGGAGGAGCTGCAGAGAACAGGAGGCTCTCCAGGCAGCTCGTCCCTTGCTTCCCGGCCCTGCTGCAATACAGGCTTCAGGGCCACAGCCACCGGAGGCATAGTCCAGACCCTCCTCTCCCCCTTCTCTGGCTCCTGAGGTCCAGGGCTGGAGGGGCCAGCAGGAGGAACCTGGCCAAAGAAAGGCAGAAAGAAGCATCAAAGTCCAATGGGTTTAAAGAGACAAGACATGGTACAGACACTTTAATAACATTATACATTATTAGAACTTCCTTAAAAGGAGATTTGGTAATACTATAAAATTTTAAACCGCTTAATTTTGATTTTACAATTCTATTTCTCAAAATTTTATTGATACACTTACACAAAGACACACAAATATTAATGATATTTACTGCAGCACTGTTTGTAGATGCAAAATATAGGAAACAACTATTATATCCATCAATAAACACTTGGTTGAATGAAAGGTTATACAGCAGCATATAGAAGGGGACCGTTTGGTATATGCTTCACGGAAGAGAGGTGGGAGGGGAGACATTCAAGATACCAGTACAGTTGCTGCTTCTGGGGAGAAAAACTGGAAGACTGAGGTACAAGGATGGGATGAAGATTACTTTTTACTGCAAAGCCTTTTGAACAGTTTGGATTTTTTTACCATGTGCATATTATTACTTATTCCCAAAAATTTTACAGCTAATAATTCATAATTAAAATTTCATAATTAAAAGAAGGAAGTAGGAGATGCCAATATAAGAAAGGTTAGGGGGAGACTCGACTCTTGGGCAGGACTTAGCAACAATTTTTGGCCCTTTCCCTCATAATTAATTCAGCTATCATTCTACGAAACTAGTACCACATATTAATCATCACCTCTTGGGACTGGGAGAACAGAGTTATGCCCAATGGATGGGGCCAGTCTGAGTGAGCTATGGCCATGGAAAAATGATGTATTTTGGTGAGATGGTTATCTTTGGGAAAGTCCACCGATTTTTTTCCCCTTTTTTTCCGCCTAGGAACTGAACTTAGGACTTCCCTTGGGAGGGAGCTAGACTTCCAAAGAAACTCTGAAAAGCCAGCTCAAGGGGCAATGCCTACTGGAGGGTTAGGAGGCGGGAGAGTGGCACTAAGCAGTTGGTTTGCCTCATCCCAGTGGGCCTGCAGCATGGCTTGGAGTCGCTCTACCAGCTCCGCCCGCTGTTCCTCTAGCTGTTGGTTCCCACTCTGCAGCTCTCGCACTCGCACTTGCTCTCGGGCCAGTCTGAAGAAAAGAGGGGAGAGGTAAGTCGGGGCTTATAAGGAAGCAGAGACATGAAGGATAGGAAGAACCAGAATGGAACGTCAGACATCTGAAATTCTGAAAAGAGCTAGGGCCAGTTTAGAAGAGGACAGATCTACCAAGGGAGCAGCTCTTTACCATTCCCAGTTTGGGCTGTACCCATGAGCTGAGGCCTACAACAGATACTCCAGGGACCAGTACCTAAGCTCGTAGTCCTGAGCCACCTGCTGCTGCCGTTCCTCTCGTTCTGCCATTTCCACCTTGAACTGAGCCAACTGACTGGCCAGTTCCTGCTGGTGCTGTCCAGTCAGGTCCTGCAGCCGCTTCCTAAGAGCACACAGGTGAGAAAAGAGGACTGAAACTGCAGACAGAAGAAACGACCACATGAGAAAAAGACAACATTGGTGCATGTGAGAGTGAACCAGATAGCCACAGTTAGCCAGCCTGGCCATGGCACAGGAAAGAGAAAAGATCGAAGCTGGGGTCTTAGTATGGGTTCCCCAGAAGCAGAGACTGAGATGAGGATTCATGGGAGGGTGATTTATTTAAGAAGCATTTCCAGAAAATATTGATGGGAGTGAAGAGAAGTGAGACTGGGCTGGGAATGAGGCTTAATCCCACAGAGCAGCTGTGGAGATAGTGCAGGTCTCCTCAGCACTGTCCCAGCAAGGGAGCTAGGCAATTTATACTCTTGTACCCATTAGTTTTTGGTTAAGGGCTCCTCTATGGGATGAAAATTCCCAGGCATTTCTGGCTCTCCGTGAGCACCTGAAGGCAGACTTCCCAAGAGAAACTTAGGTCCTATTGAAAGTACTCTGGGAGCCAGCACGTTGGAAAACGGTAAAGATACCCAAGAAGACATGGGCAGGGCACTGATACGTGTTGGGGAGAAGCAGCATCCAGTGAGTCCCAGTACCTGTGATGTTCCCTCAGGGAGGCTGCTTGCCGTAGGCTGCTCTCCTGAGCCTGCGCCAGCCGCTCCGTCACCCGCTGCTCCAACTGCACAGCCAGCTCTGACTCCATCTGGATCCGCTGGCTTTCATACCGGGCCTGGGAGTGGAGGAAGGTGAGATAATGGTCAGCTCAATTCTGTTTGGGCTTAGAAAAAGATGGAGGATATAATGTAGACAAAATCCAGTACCAACTTTCCCCCTCAGAAGGGATGAAGAAAAAGAATTTTGCCACAAGAAACGAAAGAGGTTCCCTTTTCTTATTAAATCATGAGGTGCTCACGCCTTATACGTACACCAAAGTGAAAGTGACTTTGGGCAAAAGACATATATTTTTTAACCAAAAGAAATGTTAGGTGGAGCAATCAAATCCATTATACGTGTCTGAGATAACATATATAGTCCCGCAAGTATAGTACCTGAAACCCAGCAGGCATTCAATAAATGCCAGTTAGTGTCCCTTCCTCCTTAAGCAGTTAATCTATAATTGCTGTCTCCATTTTCTCACTTTACATTCCTTCTTCAACTCACTAAAATCTCATTTCCATGTATAGTACTTCACTGCAAAGAACTTAATTTCTAAATCCAATAATGTTTTTTTCTCAGTCTTTATCACATATGGTCTCACTGCAATACCTGACACCCCAGGTCAGTACTTCCTACTAAAATCATTTTCCCCTTACCTCCCATGATACCACCAACCCCTCATTCTCATTCTATTAACTCTGTCTCAGCTCGCTGTTCTTCCTCCAACTGCCCATAAAGGTTGAATTGAGCTCTGTCCTTAGTCCTCTTTTCTACTGTTTACTAACATTTTCAGATCCCTGATGATTTTACATGTGTATCCTAAACTTCTGGCATTTAGGCTGGGCTTTTTGCTACCATTTATACCATAACACTTCCTAAATCTCTCTCATTAGCCTAGACCTTTTTTCCAAGCTTTAAGTCCATACACCCAGTAAAACCCTTCAAATGGCTCCATTTTCTAAAGAATAAATTTCTGGCTGCTTAAATGGCTTACAAGACCCTTCAGGATCACCCACCATCTATCCACCTCATCATTACCAACATAGAGTCCAATCATACTAAACTCCTTACAGTTATCTGAATTCTTTTAATGAAAAAATTTAAAATGTACTCCCTTTGAGCAAGCAATTCCACTTTTAGGAATCTATCCTACAGAAATACTCATAGGGTTGCCAAGGATTTATGTACAATGATGTTCACTGCAGCACTATTTTTAATAGAGAAAAATTGGTATTGATGTAAATTTCCCATCAAAAGGAATATGCTTAAGTAAACTATGATTCATCCATTCAATGCAATATTATATCATCCTTAAAAATAATGGAGTACATTTGAATGTATTGACATGGAAAGATGTCTATGATGTATTGTAAGGTTAAAAAAAACCAATTTGCAGCAATCACATAGCATGTTCACATTTTGTTTTTATGCTCACTCATGAAAAGGTTATGGAAGGACATACAAGTGGTGTGCTAAGAGAAGGCAACCAACATTTTTTACTTCTGTATTATTTGAACTTGCTTTACAGATTACTTTTATATTTAAAAAATAGTTTTAAAAAGTCTCTGGAAAGTCTACCTCAACTTTTCCATGCAGAATTAATGGCTCCTTTCTTTGTTGTTGATATTTAACTCTGATAAGTAACTTTGATAACATAAACATGCATGTTATAATTGCTAAAGTAACCTCTAAAAAAACAGAAACCGAGTTAATGACTTTACAACTAGTTGAGGAAAAAAGTGGAATGAGAAAAACTAACCAATCAAAATGATGACAAGAGGCTGGGCGCGGTGGCTCACACCTGTAATCCTAGCACTCTGGGAGGCCGAGGGGGTGCGGATCATTTGAGCTCAGGAGTTCGAGACCAGCCTGAGCAAGAGCGAGACCCCTTCTCTACCAAAAATAGAAAGAAATTAATTGGACAGCTAAAAATAT